AAAAAAAAAAATTCAACTGAAGTTTTTTTTATTGAAGTTTGAACATAATTTTAAAAAAGAATGGGCTCAACTTTTTTTTTTGATATTAAAAAAAAATTAAGTTGCCTACGGATAATCCTCTTGGAGTTTAGAGGATCAAGAGCCAACAGTAGTTCTCTTACTTACTTGATATCAATTTTCACCCAACCTTTTACCTTAACGCTATTTGCAGGACACCGTGATGTTCCGTTGAGGAACCCAATCGATAAATCAAAATTAAATCTCATTTCTTTGGATTTTCTTGGGCTTTTTAGTTCGGCTTTGGTCCAATTCAGTCAAAACCGCATGCTTGTGCTTCTAGGTGAATTCGATGTGTCCATAACGAGATCGTGGTTTCATCAAGTTATAGTTTCTCCTTTGACTAAAAGCTTGTTCTAACCGCAATAGTGGAGGACCAGGTAGCTGCTAAAATTTGTTTTGGAAGTAAAGAAAGGAATTTGGAAAGTATTGGCGTGACGGACTCAATATAAAATTGGAAAATTTCTGTAATCTATGCATAAATCATACACCAAACTCAAAAGAAGATTGTTAAATTAAAAAAATTTAAAAAAATTCAAAAAAATTTCAGAAATAGAACTGGATTCCCTTTTCCTTTTTGACTTGTAAAGTAAAACTTGTTGAGCAACACAAACACCACTTACCCTTTGTGTTGGATTTTGTAGTAATATACGTTCAGCAACACCAACACTTACCCTTTCAGTTGGGAATGATTGATTATTGAATTGAGAAGAATTAGAAGAAGTAGATGAACTAAAATATTGAACAAATTTATTTATATTAACATTATCTTCTATATCAAGATTTAATATTTTACAGTAAAAAGTCAAATATTCAGATAAAACTTCAAATTTACATGTAGGATCAAATACACAAGCAACAAGATAAAGAGGTGGTATGTTTTTAAAATAAGATAACAATTTTTTTTAATTGATAAAATACAATTTTGTAATAAAATATCATTTTCAAATTCTTGAAGTGCACTAACAATATTAATGCATGTAGGTAAAAATAAATGAGATGTGGGATACTAAACCCCACTAAATTTATATGTAGCAAGATTAAAAATTTTTAAAATATCCAAAATTTTTGCATAAATATCCCAATTTTATATATAAAAATTAATTTCTTCAATATTGTTAGTAACAAAAGTGCACAATAATTCTTTATATGAAAAAGACTCGTTTAATAATTCATATGTTGAATTCCAACCCTCAATATTATAGTAACAAAAAAGCATAAATTCTTATAAGGAAAAAGACTCGTTTAGTAATTCATGATGTTGAATTCAACGAGTTGGGACAATCCCTTGGAAAACCGTTTTGGTCTTTTAATTATTTTCTTGACAAAATTAGAACCCACACTTTTCATACACTTGGGATGTGTCCATAAAATATGAAAATAGCTTTTTTAATTGGAGGAGAAATAAAAAGAATCAAAAATTTTTAAACGCATCTTGTACACATAAATGTTAAAAACATGGCAATGCACATCTTAGATGAAAAAATTTACCACCAATATTGGTTCACAAATTTTTTAAGGTTCAATAATTGATTCAGTATTTGCCAGAAGCATTATCAAAATGAAATTGAAAAAAAAATTTTTTTAGTCAACTTATATTCATCTAAATTGAAACCAAGTTTACTCCTATAAATATTATTGCAGTGATGTTGATCAAATTCAAAAACACGAAAACCAATAATTTCTTTTTTGAATTTTCCAAATTAATCATCAATCCCAATGATATGTAATACCCATATACAGGAATGATTTGCCAAATGATCACTCCAAAAACATCACAACAAATGAAACACGAATTTTTCATTGCAGAAAATAAAAGCTCTAACTCTTTTTTTCCTTAATTATATAAAGAAACAATAGTTCGTTTTACCAGTATTTCTTGGTACTCTTTTAGCACCAAGGATTATAAAGCTTTTGACAATAATTATTAAAACCTACCTTTTTCACCCAAAACCTAAAAAAAAGATAAATATTCCATAGAAATCATTTTAGCTAATTCTTCTTTTTGTTATTTTTCAGAATATTGAAATAAAGAAATGTTAGAAGATGCATACCCAAAAATTTGTATTTGAGACCGATTAACTCCTATTTTTGTTGGATGTTTTTCTCCAAATGCTTACAAAATGATCTATACCCGCCCCCTTGTTTGAATTTATAAAATTTTCCATAATAATTGCTAATTGCAAATTATATCGTACATTTTCTCACCTTTGAATTTTTTTGTGAAATGAATGGAGAATATGTCGGAACTTTATCTTGCTCTTGTAACAATTTTTGCTCGTAGCTCTTGCTCTTGCTCTTCATCTTCTTAAAATTGCTCATTAAATTCGGATTCTTGAGTTGGAATATCCAAATTTTCATTTGGAAAACCCTCAAAATTACATTGGTCGGGAATCATATCATAGATGTCGTTTGTAGGGATAGATGATTCTCCAATTTTTCCCTTGCCCTTACCCGAATTTGAGTTTCCTCCACTTTTCCAATTATATGATAATAAATATAATTTTGGGAAAATTGAAATAAAAAAAATTAGAGAGAATAATTAACTTAATAAGAGAGATTGTAGAGCTAGAGAGAATAAATGAATAATTATAGAGTAAAATTAGTTATATTGTAAGAGAGTTAAGAAGAGAGTGTAGTATATTGTAGAGAGAGTAAGTAGAGAGAGTTGGAGATTTTTTTGTAATGATTTGTAAATGAAATGAGGTATTTATAATAAATCCAAAAAATCATTTTTCCAAAAATACCCTTGAAACTAGCCGTTATGTAACCGTTTATGGCTGTTGGAGAGGTAATTAAGAGATTTCACAACAAAATTTAAAAAAATCACAATAAATTTAAAAAAAAAAAAAAAAACTGCATAAATCTGACAGTTACAACGGCTAGAACCGCCAACCGGCGGTTCTAACCAGACGGAGAACCGGCGGTTCCAGTCTGGTTCAGAACGGTTCTCTGGAACCACCGGTTCTGGTTCCTTATTTGCTGGAACCGGAACCGAACCGAATTTTTCCGATTCCAGTTCCGGTTCTCACCGGTTCCGGGCCGGTTCGAACTGACGATTCCGGTTCCCAGAATCATAATATGGCCAAGTCTACTGTGATCTGTTTTGGGCCATCTTTGTCTCTTGTAGCAGAGAGAGTAGAAAAAATAGAAGATATAAAAGGCCTATAAGTGGAGTATGATCAGCCTATGAACACCAACATTAACTTCCCTGGACGGGTTTATAAACTTACTCATGTTACCAAACCAAACCAACGAAAAATATATTTTTATTAAAATGATAATATTTTTTTACCATACATAAAAAAAATAGATAAAGTAAAAATAATATTTAAAAAATCATTGTTTTCATTGATTTAATCGTGGTAAAATTATGATCGATATAAGCAAGTATAACATCAACACCACACATTTTGTCTCTCTTTTATTTTTATTATTATTATTATTATATTAGTCAGACTACAACAGAGTTATAACACATTTTATTTTTATTATTATTATTATTATTATATTAGTCAGACTACAACAGAGTTATAACACATTTTATTTTCTTGTTTTTTTTTTAAATCCATCTTCCATGCTTATTGTTAAATAATAATTTTATTTTGTTAAATAATAATTTTATTGTTCGAGTTTGACTTAATTGGTTTTTTAAATATATCTGGTTTTTTCCGAATATATTGTTTGGATTCGTTGATATTACAAATTGCAGGTAGTTGTTATTTAATTTAAATTTTTTTTATCAATTCTTATTGTTAATAAAATAATAAAATCAAAAAGGAAATTTTATGAAATGATAAAATAAAAAATTCAATAATTAAATAACATGTTAAGGAAATAACATATTGATAATAAATAAATAAATATTATTATAACTTGCCAATTAAATTTTCATGAAATAAAATTACTTACCAACCATTTAGATTTTCTTATAATAATTAACTAATTTTTAGTATACAAAATAATACCATAAACTTTTTATATTACTAAAATATGAGAAATCAATATTACTTATTATAATAACTAATATAGTAATCATTTTTTTTAGAACAACATTTATATTTTTAACATTTTTTCTTTTTTATTAAAGTATATGAACATACAACTAATGTTTTGGTTGCTTTTTTTTTAAGAAAAAAAAAATTTTGAATGTATTATATGATTTGTTAATATAACGTATACCATAATTTTATATTTTATATATATTTCTAGTAGTGGTTATTTTCATTTTATGTGAGTTTTATTTTCTATTTTATATCAAACTATAACTCTTATAATATATTCTTTAGTAAATAATAAATAAATTACATTTATTTTTTATTGAAAAATTTCTTATAGGAAATACTTATAATCAATCAAATTAAAGATTTATTAAAAATAATAATCAAACATGTCATGTTCTTACTATATTTGACATATACCTTATATAGTATAATTTAACCAATCAAAATTCAATTATCTATAATTTTTTAACCAATAAAATTAAAATCCTTAAAATATATTCTTACCATATTTAATATCTATCTTGTTGGCTAAAGGTCATTACAATACTCTATTTTGATGGTTAATAAAAATAATATATTGAAGATTTATTATGTAGACTGTGCTAAAACATGTGGAAACACGTTGGAGAGTTCAAAGAAGTGAAGAGATGGGTATTTTAGTCTTTTAGTCTTTAATTAATGGAAAAAAATTAACTTTTCGAACGGAAGAATCTTTTAATTAAACGGAGTTAAACCTATGAGACTAGTTAGATATTTGCGCAAAACTTAGAATTAGTTGGATAATCATGTAAAACCTGAAGGACTAAATAATAAATTTTCCTAAGTCAAAAAAGGCCACTTTTTGTTAAAAAAATTAAAAATTAAAAATTGAAAAGTCAAACTGGGTCCGTATGCTCGCCCACGCTTTCTTTCCGCTTCTTTTTATATTTGGGGTAAGAACATAATAATTCTGCACTGTATCTTCCTCTACTCGTTTTCTTTCCTCTGACAATCCACAAAAATGGCTCAAAAAGTTTCGCAGTGGCCTCAACTCCCATGGAAAGCCAACCTCTTCATATCAGTTATGTCTTTCGGCGTTGACATCGTCCGTCGCTCTAACGGCACCATCAACCGCCCTCTCCTCAAAATCTTCGACGTCAAAAACTCTCCCTCCAAAAAGCCCATCAACGGCGTCAAAACCACTGATATAACCATTGACAAATCTCGAGATCTCTGGTTCCGCCTCTACACTCCCACCACCAACACTATCTCCGACAGTGCTGGTTTGCCGGTCATTTTCTACTTCCACGGCGGTGGTTTTTCCCTACTAGCAGCCAATTCGAGACCTATGGATGACTTTTGCTACCGTCTTGCTCGCGAACTCTCTGCTTTTATAATCTCCGTTAACTACCGGCTTGCTCCGGAGCATCGTTTTCCATCTCAATACGACGACGGATTTGATGCGCTAAAGTACATCGATAGCACAGAAATTGAAGGATTTTCAAGCTATGCGAATCTAAATCATTGTTTCGTCGCCGGAGACAGCGCCGGAGGCAACTTGGCGCATCATGTGATAATAAAAGCTAATGAATATGAATTTTCTAATATAAAATTAATTGGTAACATCTCGTTTCAACCATTCTTAGGAGGAGAAGAACGGACTGAATCTGAGTTAAGGCTTACTAATGCTCCATGTATTACAATAGAGCGTACAGATTGGATGTGGAGAGCGTTTTTGCCGGAAGGGTCAAACCGGGACCATCCCGCCGTGAATATATTCGGGCCTAATGGTGTCGATATTTCAGGTATGAAGTTTCCGGCGACGATTGTTTTTGTGGGTGGATATGATCCTTTACAGGATTGGCAAAAGAGGTATTATGAAGGGCTAAAGAAGTCTGGAAAAGAAGCTTATTTGGTCGAGTATCCAAACATGCCTCATTCATTTTATATTTATAATGAATTGCCTGAGTCTGGCTTGTCGATTGAGGAAGTCAAGGATTTTATGCAAAAGCAATTAGCTTCCAATATATGATCAAATGCAAGCTTTAGAGTTTTTTTTTTTTTTTTTTTTTCGCTCTCCAATATATGATCAAATGCAAGCTTTAGAGTTTTTTTTTTTTTTTTTTTTTTCTTTTTCTTTCTGCATTCTCAGTTTGAAGAGAATGAATAATATAATTTGAATTATATGAATTTGACATTTTTTGTAGTTTTTTTTTTTTTTTTTTTTTTCTTTTTCTTCTGCATTCTCAGTTGAAGAGAATGAATAATTAATTTGAATTTATATGAATTGAATTTTTGTAGTTGTATGGTATTAATAAATATATTAATTATTGTTGTTGTTATTATTATTAGGGTCGCTCATTTTTGTTGATTCGATGAAATCAAAATAGTTTAAACTAAATAAATTGAATTTTTTTTTAAAAAAAATCGAATCTAATAGAATTATATATATATAAAGAATGAAATTCAAATATCGATACATCCAAAATTGAACCGGACATGTTTTTTGTCCATATGTAATTGTTAACATGGGTTTTTTTTTTTAGAAAAATTAAACTAGAAATTGGAAACTGTGTGCACGTATATGAGATATAAATCAATATGTTGCTATATGAACCACTTATACAAAAAAATAAAAGAAATATAATCTTGAATTGAAGCATTTGATCGAATTGACAGAGCATAATATTTATGTCATAGATAATCTCTTGTTCCACTTGGTGGCTATTCATAGACACTGTTTGATTTCATGGTCTTTCTATAAGTTTAATCTGATTACTTTCAAATTTCTTATTTATATTGAAGAGGAGATTTGTATTTCTTTCTGTATAACTATCCAAATAATAAACGACACTAGCGATAACAATAACTCAAAACTAATCTGAGAACAAAATCTCAAGATATGAGTAATAATAAATTCAAATATTTTGGTGACAATAACTCATATCTATATTATTTAAAAAACAAAAAAAAACAAAAAAGGAAAAAGGTGATTATGGGTAAGAGCTCACCAGTAGCTACCCGTAGAAGGAGAAAAAACATCTTTTAAATTTTATGTTTTAGGTCTTGGAAGAAAGAGGCCTTATCCTTGTGGGTGTCCATAAATAATTATTACTATAGTCGCGAATGAATATTTTTATTATTTTTTCTAAAAGTATTTTTCAAATATTAATTTAATATCATTAAATCTCATATAAACTTATCTGCAAATTAGTGCAGCTTTTTTGTCAATTAGTCTGAAAGTCTCGAGTTTGAGTATTTTTTACTATAATAGTTTTTACTAATTTGGTGAGTCAATAAAAGAAGTATTATATTGTGCAGCCTATCGTATTCTTTTAGCCTATTGACCTCCTAATTATAAAAAAAAATAATGCAACAACCAAATAAATGATTCTTTTAAAAAATTTGTTCCTATTCCTTTTTTATCAATAAATAATAAAAAAATATTCTAATTACAACTAAAACCTTATTTTTAAATGATTTAAGGTTTAAATATTTTCGGGTTCCTAACTTATGACCAAATTAATACTTAGGTCCCTCAACGTTGAATAATTATTTTAAAGTACTTAAATAATACTATCGTTACACCGTGAGACCCTTCCATTCAAATTTCTACCTTTTTTCCACTTATATGGGCTGAAAAGTAAATATTAAGTGGGAAGTTAAATATTTTGGATCCCTAAATTATGATCAAATTAACACTTAAATCTCTTAATATTTGAGTAATTATTCGCATTTCAGTCTTATAAACAGAAAAAAAAGTAAAAATTTAGATAAAAAGATCTCACAGTATAATAATAATATTATTTAAGTCCTTCAAAATAATTATCCAAATAATGAGAGACCTAACCGTTAATTTGACTACTACCCATATTTAACGTCTGGATAGACACATATACCGTTTTTCCCCTAATTACAATTAAAAACATATTTTTAATTGAGAATAGAGAAATTTTTCCCATGATTTCGTAAAGTAGATCATCGTAAAAGGAAGATGATGATGACAGTAAGCCTAAATTTGGTGGCTAGCTGACTAGCTCGCAGCAGTATGGAGACATAGACATTAAAATTTGTGGGGCCCGTTGAGTTGTTACGGATCATAAAGAATTATCCAATGACCATTTTAGTTAGAAGCCTCAACTGATTCCGCCCTGTATTTATTATCATTATTTGGCCCATTGGGTGGTTGGCTGATAGCGTGACCGATGCATACTGCGGATATTAAAATTTAATAGTCGGACCCATTGAAATACTGATTTGAGTATGTATTTAAATACATTTAAAATTTTATCATTTGCGTCCCTTCCGTACTTCGATTGCAGATAATAATTTATATTTTATTTAAATAATTTATCTGTTTCAAAGTATAATTCTTAAATATTAAAAAGTAATTAATTCTTTTAGATCATAATAAAATCAACAGCAATTTAATTAAATTATCATTTATTTCAAACTTAATAATTATTTATGAAAATATTTATTCTAACTAATCTAAGCAGAGATAATATTAAAAAAATATTATTTATTATTTTTTAAAATACTCAAAATGTTTTATATTTTGAAATAAAATAATAAAAAAAAAAAACAATTTATACACTAACACAAAGAAAGTAGATTGGAGCGAGATGGATAAACTAAAATATCGGTGCCCCATCAATCCCAAACTGTCACCCAATTTGATTTTGAAGGAAGCATTTAAGCATGCGTAGACGGATTTGAATGATTATTTTCTCTTGGAATATAAATTGTTTTGAGTATTTTAAAAAGTAATAAATAATATTTTTTTAATGTTATCCTTATTTACAGTAAATACAATAAATATTTTTACAAATAATTATTGATTTTGAAGTAAATGATAATTTGGTCAAATTAACCTCGATTTTGTTGTAATCTAGGATATTATTTGTTTCCTTAATCATTGTGTAAAAATCTTAAACGACTTATATTTGAGACAGATAAAGTATTTCCTTGCAATAAATAATTTCTCTTTATTGCATAAATCTATATGTTTGCTCTTTTCTCTCTTGACATGATGAAATGTGTCATTAAATATAAGGGTGAAAATATAAATTTAATCTTCGATGAGCGCACTTTGCTGAGAGTATAAAAAACGTTTACGCTTCACGGCTCAAAGAAATTACACTTCTAATTATAAGGGTGAAAATATAAGGGCGAATGATGCTAGATGGATCATGATGATCTAGATCATTTCCACTAACTGGATTTGAATCGTCCGTTTTAGCATTGAGAAACAGGATTTATAAAGAGAATGAAAATTTGAATTTCATTCTCTTTTCTATTAACACCCCACTGCCTAGTGATAAAAACTTGTTTACATTTCTAAGAAGGGCTATCAAGTTTTTTCTTTTTAAATATACTAGAACTTTTATGATGTGCGTTGCATGTTGATTATATTCGTTATTCATATTCGTTCAATTCTTTATATCATTATTCACTTTTACTTATTATTTATACTCAGTTTTAATTTTTATATAGATATTGATTATAATTTTTATATTATTTTATTTAGATTTTTATTATATCGCCATTTATCTAAAATTTATTATAAGTTGTATATGTATAATTCTACAATATCACTTGATAAATACATTTTAATATATAGATACATAGATATAATAATAAAATATTATATATATTTGAAAAATTAAAATTTTCAATCGATGGTCATCATACACATGCATGTTCAATTTATTTGAAATAAATTTTTAAAAAGTAAAAATTTAAAAGGCTTAATTATATATATTCTATTTGAAAATTTATTTTTTAAAAAATATATCCAATCAAATTATATTAACATAAAGAAAAAATAATATTATAAAAGTTTTTTAAAAAATATTTTAAAAAATATATCCAATCAAATTATATTAACATAAAGAAAAAATAATATTATAAAAGAATTTATTTTTTTCTTTTTTAATTCTCTCCTAAATAGAATGCTTTAAATTATAATAAAAACATAATCAAAACATAATCAAATATTTAAAAATATATTATAGTTTGTTTTATTACGTGCATTGCACATTTCTGTTGCTCGTTTAATACTTATAGTTTATACTTGTTTATTTTCATATAATATATTAACTATTTATATATTAACTATTTATTATAATTTCTCTCTTGTATTATGTATATCTTTTTAATGTTAGAACTAAATCTTTTTATTGTGGATACATAAAAAGTTAAAAATAAGTTAAGTATTTTAATCAAATTTATCTACTTGAGTTTAAGTAATTTATATTTAAAATCATTGATTTTAATAATTTGTATACCTTTTAAGTTTAAAAATTATTTGTAAAGTTTATCAATTTTAAAAAAAAATTTGATTCAAACATAATCAATTTAATAAATAAAAATCTAAACTCAGCAAACTTTTGCTTATATTAAATATAAAAATATATGAATTTATATATAAATTATATAGAGAACTTCATTTAGACAAATAAGAATTCAAATAAAAATTGTAAATAAAATTGTTAATATTTCATAGAACTTATAAATAATTATAAGAATTTAAATTTTTTACATGTTTGACCAAATAATAAAATCATTATATATGATATTATAAAGAAATTTTGGTTCACAATCTTTAATCAAGTGATTTTACTTAATAAAATGAGGGATAACTTTTGAAACTAATTTTAGGTAGGTGAGCATACATGATTGCTTTAATTTGAAACCACACCAAATTAAATCAAAATTAAAATAAATTTTCAAAATGAAAAAAGCCTCAAATTAAATATAGTTCAAAATCTAATTAGGTCAATTGATTTTACATGCATTTTTATGGTTGGTTAATTTAAGCGTTTTACCAAAAACAAAGCCCAAACAAAAAAAAAAAAAAAAAAATCATTTATCCATTGCAAACTTAAAAACACCAACCTAAATCAATTTTACCCCAATGTTTTAATATCCTTAAAAATTAGAAAATATCCCTAAAATTACAAAGGGATGATAAATTGTCTCTTTGTTTGGGAAAAATTTATAAAGTTCTTCTTTTTTAGGAAATCTTACACCATTAAATAATATAATATTTAATTAATA